CTCCTTGCTGGATGTGGGGTGCAGGCTGGGGTGAGGTCCTGTCCCGGATGTGGGGCACAGGTCAGCAGTTAAAACTAACTCCCAAAGAGATGGAATCACCATAAGGGATGTTGGCAGAAGCGATAAGAAGAGCAACTAATAGTTAATTAATCAGGATAGTTAATTAATCCCATCCCTGCCCTGGTGCTGAGACCTGACACAGCTCAGTGCATGAACCAGAGCTGACAAACCCCCAGTGCAGCAGGTCCCAAACAGCCTCTTGAGTCCAAGTGAACCCTTTGCTCCCATTAATAGGGGCTGTTTGGGAACTGGTAATCCCCAAAGCTCCCAAACAGGAGCTGAACAGGTTCTGTTGCGTGCCCCAACTTGGCCAGATTTCCTGGCAGCATGTGGGTGTTCAGACAGAAAAATAAAATATTAAGTAACTAAATGCTGGAGCTCCTGGAGCAGATGGAGCAATAAATTCCCGGATTATCGGCCATCAAACATCTTTTTGCTTTGCTTTATATAAAAAAAATAGAAAAGTGACAGCAATCCAGCTGGAACAGGTAAAGCCGCTTTATTTTTAACTGAGCTGCGTTGTTATCGACTTGGGGAGCTTTGTCCTAAAGCCAGTCACTGTAATCTTGTTTTATTGCCGCCTGAGAAGGCCTTTTGTCATCTTGTGATAGGGGCAAATAGTTTTCCTTGAGTTACAGCTTACAGAATACCTTGCTCTTTGCATTATTTGCTATTTTTTGTCCCTGGCAAAACTCCCTGCTCATCTATCTGCAGGGCCAAGTAATTGAGCTGCCAGTGGAAATATATGGGCAGCGATTTCCCGGTCCTGTAATGAAGTGATGCTCTGGTCCTGGGGGATGATGGAGGACGAAGCTTTGTATCCCCGGCACAGAGCATCTCCCTCCCCATAGCGCACCTCAGCACTCCCCCCCCCAGCATTGGGGGTTTCCCCACTGACCTCTTCTCCTTTGCCTGGCAGGAATTTCCTGTGGAAGGTCATGTTTGCTGGTGGCTCCGACAGTCCTTATGCCAAAGTGATGAGGGGGCAGATCACCCTGACCCAGGTGAGCCCTTGGGTACCAGCTGTGGAGCATCACCAGCAGTTCCAATGGGGCTCAGGAAGGAGCCAAGGAGAGCAGGCTTCAGGATGGGCTGTGCTTTATTTTTGGGGGTCAGTTGAATGACTGTGTGGTTGTTTTTTCCAGCTCTTTTCCGAGATGGAGGAGGGCTGCAGGCAGCACGCCACCGCCTCGGGCATCACCCTGCCATCCGCCTTCTCTGTTGCCCAAGCCTTCGAGGAGATGGCGGCCAAGGGGACAATCAATACCCCCCTCTTGCAGGCAGCAAGGGTGCTGCGGAGGAATGGTGGGTGCTGGGGGACTTTTGGGCTGGAGTAAGAGTGGTGCTCCCCTCCCAGGCAAGTGCCATCGGAGTCACTAGTTGGTCCCACCACAGGGTCCTGGTTGGTGCCACCTGCTTGATCCTTCATCATCATCCCTACACTCTTCTGATGTCACTTTTCAGCATCCTTTAGTTAAATATTAAGAGCCCTGCTACTAAATCCATCAGACATGTGAGCACCCAGGCAGCAATTAGCAGGATGCTGAAGCCATGTGCCCTGCACTGTGGTTAGTCCATAAGGGAATGATAGAATCCTAGAATGGTTTGGGTTGGAAGGGACCTTAAAGCTTACCCAGTTCCAACCCCTGACACAGGCAGGGACACTTCCCACTAGAGCAGGTTGCTCCAAGCCCCATCCAGCCTGGCCTTGAACACTGCCAGGGATGGGGCAGCCACAGCTTCTCTGGGCACCCTGGGCCAGGGCCTCACCACCCTCACATCAGCTCAGCCTTCAGCATCTCTGTGTGTTCAAGCTCCAGCTCATGTCCCACTTGAATTGGGAGGGTTGAGCTTTGCTTTCCTGGAAGTACAAATTGGGCATAAGCTCCTGCTGAGCATCTTTTGATCTCCTGCTGGGGTGTTCTGATGTGGCCAGAGCCTTGCAAATTGGATATCTAGGGTTGAGAAGGTGGCTGGGGAGAAGAGGTGAAATCAAACGATCTCTTGAGAGACAGAGTGGGAAAACCAGCACTCCCTTCTCTGCACTAGGATTTAAGACCTGTGTCCTCACGAACAACTGGGTGGACGACAGTGCCGGGCGGCTCTTCACGGCCACGCTGATGAACCTGCTGCACCGGCACTTTGACCTGGTGATCGAGTCCTGCCGGCTGGGAATGCAGAAGCCAGATCCCGAGATCTACACTTACGCCCTGGATGCGCTGAAGGCAAAGCCGCAGGAGGTACGACCAACCTCGAGAACAGGTCATGGAGGGTCCCTCCACGCACCCAAGGTCCTTGGCCTAACCATTCCTCAGGCTGCTGATCCTGGCTCTTGCTGGTGTATTTCCAGGTCATCTTCCTGGACGACATTGGGGAGAACTTGAAGCCGGCCCGGGAGATGGGCATGGCCACCGTCCTCGTCAGGGACACTGAAACTGTCCTAAAGGAGCTGGAGGAGCTCTCAGGCATCCAGGCATGTAGAGGTGGTCCCTGTCCCCTGCTCTCCTGGGGATTCCTGGAGAGCTGGGAGGGATGAGCTTGGGCTTCTTCCCTGTGAGGGTGGTGGGGCCCTGGCACAGGTTGCCCACAGAAGCTGTGGCTGCCCCATCCCTGGCATTGTTCAAGGCCAGGTTGGACAGGGCTTGGAGTAGTCTGGTTTAGTGGAAGGTGTCCCTGCCTGTTCCAGGGGATTGGAGCTGGATGAGCTTTAAGGTCTCTTCCAACCCAAACCATTCTGTGATTCTGTGATGTCCCTCCATGACAGGTTGGTGGGGATGTCCCGTGGGGCTCCAGGCTTGCTCAGGAGCTCACCCTGTGCTCTTCACCCCACAGCTTCTCACTCAGCAAGAGCCACTACCAACAGCGTGTGATCCATACAACGTGACCCATGGATATGTGCCCATCCGGGTAGTGTGGAGGGGACTGCCTTGGTGACAAGGGCTTGGGGGGTGCCAGGCATCCTGGGGAGGGTGTTGAGCCCCATGCAAGGATGTGCCAGCCAACGGGTGGCATTTTGGGTTGTCCCTCCTGTGTGGGCTGCTCTCGGTCAGGGATGGTGAGCTGCCCCATCATTCAAGTCTTCTCTGTCCACCCCAGAGGCTATGGCGTGGTTGTGTGGCTCTTGGAGGAGGTGGTGGGCCCCCATACTTGGTGACCAGCGTTAGCTGGAGGGTTGTGGGGTGAAGCCATGCAACTGCAGCTGGTGAGGGCTCTCCATCCCTTCCAGCGTGGTGTCCAGCTGCACTTCGTGGAAATGGGGCAGGGCCCTGTCATCTGCCTCTGCCACGGCTTCCCTGAGTCCTGGCTCTCATGGCGTTTCCAGGTGATGGAGGAGACGGGGAGGAGGGTGGACCATAGGGGCTGGTGGTGGGATGGTGATGGGGTATGTGGTCACCTGAGGGTTCCCTGGTGGGAGAGTGGGGTCCGGGGGTCTCAGCATCCTTCGGAGGTTGCTGTTTTCTCTCCTAGATCCCAGCTTTGGTTGATGCTGGCTTCAGGGTGATTGCTCTGGAGATGAAGGGCTACGGGGAGTCCACAGCCCCACTGGGTGAGTTGGGGGTATACAGGGCTGGAGCTGCCAGCCCCAAGTCCAAGACCCAGGAGGAGATAGATGGATGGAGGAGTCTTCTCCTGGAGGGGTGGAAGCTGGCTCCTCCTGCAGCCCCAGCAGCTCAGAGGGATGCCACATACATCCCTAGAAACGCGTGGATGTTAAGATGATGGTGATTATGTCTTTTGTGCAGATATAAAAGAGTATTCCCAGGAGCAGATATGCAAGGTGAGGATGTGGGCAGGATGAGCCGTGGTGTGGAGGGTGGTGATCCCAGACAGGATCTGACTCTTTCTCTCCTCCCTTCTCCAGGACCTGGTGGTTTTCCTGGACAAACTGGTGAGGAGCCCCTCACGATGGGTCCCTCCTTCTTGGCAAGGTTTGGCCATGTGTTCCCCCAGCTGCCCTTCACCTCTTCGTTCACATAAAGGGACAGCTGAGCTCCCCAATGACTTCGGTCCAAAACCCTTGGGGAAGCACCAAGACCTCTTTTTGTGTTCTCTATGAGTGGGATTTATGGGGTGGGGATGTTCATACAACCCATTGCAAATGGAGAGAACCCATCCTCAGGGGCGTCTCTGAGTCATCTTCTCCTGGACATTGTGTCCTTGCTGAGGATGGCGAGATGGGCTGGTGGCATCTGAGGCTTGGCAGGATTTTGGTGAGGCAGTGAGATACTCATGGAGAAGGATGTTGGGCTGTATCCCCTTTATCCCCAACCATAGCAGCTCCCCCATGGCTGGGGTTACCGGGGGATGATCACTTCCCCTTGGCACAGCTCATATATGGTGTCATCTCATTTGAGTTTGGGAGTTCCAGGTTTAATTCACATCCCAGCAAGGGGATGGGGTTGATTTCTGTGCCTTTTAAAAGAGATGAAGTGTAGGGGGTAGAACAAGAAACAAGGAGAAAAAAAAACCCTTGAGGGCTCCTTGTTGGAGAAGTGGTGGTGGTTTTGTGCCGGAGCTGGGAGGGGACCAGGCATCATGGGAACTGTAGCTGTGGTTTGGTGCTGAGCGTGTGAGGAACATAGAATCATAGAGTGGTTTGGGTTGGAAAGGACCTTAAGATCATCTAGTTCCAACCCCCCTGCCATGGTCAGTGACACCTTGCACTAAAACATGTCGCCCAAGGCTTTGTCCAGCCTGCCCTTGAACACCTACAAGGACGGAGGAGTCACAACTTACTT